AATACTTAAGAAAAGATGGCTTCCTTGCTGTAACAAAAAGGACTTCTCACTCGTTAGCCTGGAAGGCCATCCTTGATGCTCGTATGGTTCTCCTTAAAGGTTTAAGATGGATTGTTGGTAATGGACTATCCATCCTTTTTTGGACTGATAATTGGGCTTTTCCCTTCCCTTTACTTGATTTAATTCCTGCTTTCATGAGAACTAACCTCAATTTAAATGCTAAAGTTGCAGATTTTATTCAGAACCAAACCTGGCAGCGTGATAAGCTCATCCAAGAAGTTGATGAAGACATTCTGGAAAAAATTCTAACTATCCCTCTCCCTCTGTCACCTTGGCAGGATAAATTAGTCTGGGGACCCAACCCTAATGGAAAGTTTTCAATAAAATCAGCTGATAATTTACAATTGCAGGATGAGCCTTCCCATCCTAGAGCCACCTTATTGAAGAAAATGTGGAGTTTAACTCTACCCCCTAAAGTCAAGCTCTTTGCCTGGCTACTTATTCGAAAAAGATTACAAGTCAGAAGTCATTTACACAGATACTTGCTGAATATCAATCCTGAATGTCCCCTGTGTACTGATCACTTGGAGACTATTAACCATTTATTTTTTGAATGCCAGTTTGCTGTCAACATATGGAGGTGCACCTCTATAAGCCCTTTGCCTCTCCAACAGAATCTTGATGGTATTGAATGGCTGGATGCTCTCCCTCACTTGATGGATAAGGATGGCCCAAATATTCTTTCCAAAGCTCTCCTTCTTTCTGGCAAATTTGGGAGGCTCGGAATAATTGTGTGTTTAAAGATATTGCTCCACATCCAATTAGAGCTCTTTATGCTGCTGGTCAGATTGGTCTAGACTATTGGAAAATCAACTCCACTCCTCCTCTGAATCCCAAAGGTGTGCATGCAATTAAATGGAAACCACCACCCCTTGATTGGATAAAGTTAAACTTTGATGGCTCGGTGCGTGGTAACCTGGCTGCCACTGGTTTCGTCATCCGGGATTGGAATGGTAACGTCCGGCTCGCAGGAGCTAAAAACTCTGGTCAAGTTTCGATAACTGTGGCTGAATGCCTGGCGCTCCGTGATGGTCTAGCCCATGCAATCCACAATGGATGGCGCAAAGTTTTAGTTGAAGGAGATTCCAAGCTCATCATTGACTGTATCAACAACAAGGTTTCTGTCCCGTGGAGTATTCAACTCCTGGTACAAGACATTAAGCTGCTAAGTTCTTACTGTGATGAAATTTCCTTCCAGCATGTTTTCCGAGAAGCAAACTTCACGGCTGATGCTTTAGCTTATTTAGGCCATAATCTGTGGGAGCGGGGGCTTCCTTTAGGATGCTCTGTTCCTTTTTATTTTGATTTAGTTGGGCCTGCGTGCCCTCATGGCTTCCGTTTGTAAGTTTTCCGTTTCTCCATAAAAAAAAAACAAAAAAAAA